GCAGCACACAGAGGCTCTGGCCTTCGCCCTCAGTAAGTTCTCATTTTAAACTTTCTGGATAGACAAATAATCCTCTTCCTCTCATCTTTTGCCAATGGAAGTGGTGAAATGTTCTCTCCTCTGTTTAATCAGATAAGACTTCTAGAGGAAGCAGCATCAGAAGGGCCAAGGTAAGGGAGAAAATGCTGTGCTTTGCCCATCTGAACCTATCAAGGGCATTAAACTTGGATCCTAACGCACGTGGCAGACACAGAGCAACATCATGTCGCCATAAGGCCTGGAGGAGATGGGGGCAAAGAACCGTTTCTTACCTCTGAGTCTGATCACTAGGTGCCTCAATGAGTCACAGGTCAGTACAGGCTTTCAGAGGTCATCCTTTCCATTCCCCTGCCTCCATCCAGGACTCCCAAACCACCCCGTGGGATTCCGCTAACCCTAATGCTTTTCGCAAAGGGAAAAAAATAACTGTTGCTACCTAGTTTTCTCATCAAGAGGCCTGTGGACCTTTACTGCATGGAAGTTGTTTGTTATATCTAACCTAAACTACTCCTGCTATAAGGGATAGGCAGTTGAGTAAGGTCTAGAGACAGAAACACAGGCAAAAATAACCTCTCGAGGTCACCGGGATGCACCATCAATTCTAGAAGCAAGAAGAAGTTGTTCTAGCCTCCCTTTCAGATTAGCACAAAGGAAGCAGCTCTGCTATGTGCCGGCTCTGAGGAGCTCAGTTCAACAGAAATCCCAGCCCTGGGAGGACTCTGGGCTCCTTCTCCTTTTAAGGCAACGTCTGAGTGCTCAGGGCTACACAAGCTGCAACCAGCCCCAGCCCCTCTCATTCCTGGCTATTTGGAGGAAACTGATGATTAATCAACCCTTTCCCTCCCACCCCCAGCCTGTTTTTCATTAGGTTCTTTTTAAAGTGTTGGCACACCTCCTCAAGAACAGACACTTGGCAGATCCTTGCCAACTAGGACCCCAGTGTAGGGGAGGTAACTAGGAGGGAGTGGGGAATAGTCCTGGATTAGGACAAAGGGGAGAAGTCAGGATGTGGGGTGTCAGGGAAGAAGGTTAAATTGAGGCTGGGCATGGTGGCTCACTCCTGTAATCCCAGCACTTTGGGAGGCTGAGGCGGGCGGATCACGTGAGGTTGGGAGTTCAGGACCAGCCTGATTAACATGGAGAAACCCCATCTCTACTAAAAATACAAAATTAGCTGGGCGTGGTGGCGCATGCCTGTAATCCCAGCTACTCAGGAGGCTGAGGCAGCAGAATCACTTGAACCCAGGAAGTGGAGGTTGCAATGAGCTGAGATTGCACCATTGCACTCCAGCCTGGGCAACAAGAATGAAACTCCGTCTCAAAGAAAAAAAAGAATAAAAAAATAAGGAAAGAAAGAAGGTTAAATTGAGTCCTGGCTAGGGGCGAAAGGGAAGGGTCTGAATGGGAGTCCTAGCTCTGAAGGGGGCTGTGTGAAAAGAGGAGGCTAGTGGGTGAGCTCTGTGGTAGCTGGGCACTTGGGCACCCCAGGGATGCTGGGTGGGCAGAGAGGAGCTGCTTTGGCCCCTGATGGGGAAGGTCAGAGATGGTTACACTGACTTGGTGGCTGTTAGTGAGATAGTCAGGTCTGAAACCCAGCTTTCCCTGAACTTGCTAGGTGAAGTTAGTTAAGTCATGTTCTCTATGGATCCCCAATTTCTCTCTGAGTGAAGCCTACAAGTGGCGTGGGAACTCTGGAAAGGGAAGTTTATGCAGTGCACAGTGGGCTCTGAGAACTTCCAAAGTGTGCACATTTTGGGAAGGGAAGGAAGAGGGGAGGGCAGGAGTCTCTGCCTTAGGGCCTGATCTCTAGACCATGGGCCTAGAGAAGCTGGTGCCTCCAGCTCTCACCTCCAAGCTCCCAAAGTGGACAGAATCACTGATGAAACTGCTCTCAACTTGACGAGATCAGGGAATAGGAGATGGAATTCCCTGATCAAACTATGGGCAGATCATTATAAGAGCTTCCTAAAAGGGCTGATCCATTGAGTTTCCTTGTTTCCACTCTATTTGCATACTCCTCTCCTTCGGTCCCTTTCAAATCAAGGTTCAGTAAGGTCACCATCACTTCTGCTCTGGGGTAGAATCCAGTTGATCTTAGGGTCAAACCCAGTTCCCTGGGGGCCTGAGTGAGTGTGAGGGGGAGCTCTCTGCCCCTTGCTCCATCACCACAGCCCCAGTGGGGCCTCCAGCGCAGCTGGACCTTGGGGCCTGCAGGGCAGAAGGCTAGAACAGATACATTCCAAGGCCCTGTCTCACTAGGCGCTGTGCCCCTTGGCTGCTTATTGTGATTCTAGCAGAGGAGCCAAGGACTCTCACTGCTAAAAAAACCTAGGGGCTGGTCCCCAATGGCATGTGTTTGTGGTGCAGGTACAAACCGTTTCCATAGGACTCACTTTTCTTTCCATTCCCTCGGCGAAGAGTGGAGGTTGAAGAAATGCAACATGGGCCAGAGAGTGTGATAGAGAGCTGCTTTCCTTTCTTCCCTGCCTTCTCCCCACACCCCAACCTGGCACTCTTGAAAGAAAACTTTTTAAATATTCAAACCGTAGTCTCTTCCTCTTGAAAAACCTTTAGGGGAGGACATCACAGCCTCCCTTTAAGTCCCAGTTGCTCTGGGGTCTCCATCACAGTTGGACAGTTAAGTCTAATGTCTAACCCTGCCACTTCCTCTGCTTCTCTGATGAAGATGAGAAGCAAATGCTCTCAAAACAGGGCTCAGGCTCGGTGCACCCTTATGGAGGAAGAAACAGGGATCCACGGAGGTGTGGGTGGGTGGCTTATGCTGTGTATAAAACTCAAGCCCCTGGCCAGGCACGGTGGCTCACGCCTGTAATCCCAGCACTTTGGGAGGCCAAGGTGGGTGGATCAGGAGGTCAGGAGTTAGAGACCAGCCTGACCAACATGGTGAAACCCCGTCTCTACTAAAAATACAAAAATTAGTTGGGCGTGGTAGCGCGCGCCTGTAATCCCAGCTACTCAGGAGGCTGAGGCAGGAGAATCACTTGAACCTGGGAGGCAGAGGTTGCCATGAGCCAAGACCACACCATCACACTCCAGCCTGGGTGACAGAGCAAGACTCTGTCTCAAAAAACAAAACAAAAAAAAAAAACCTCAAGCCCCCATCGCAGCTCAACTGACTAGGGTCCCATGGCCTCTCTCACAAACTTCTCAGTGTCTCGGGGGTCAAAATTGAGTCATAGAATCCAAGATCCAGAATCTGGCAGAGTCTTCCAGAGATCAGCTGACCCAATGAATTCCAGGGCTCTCCACAGAGAGGTGCTTGTCCTTAGCTAAGTTTTTACTAAAAATAAGGACAATACCGTGAATTTTAAAAAACACACATATTTGTTGTTAAGGTATATTCTTTACTCTGTTATGCCTACCTTCTTTAAAATTAGCTCCTTCTTATTTTGATGAGACGATGATGGTAGATAGAATTTTAAAATACCGGACGGGCATGGCGGCTCCCACCTGTAATCTCAGCACTTTGGGAGGCTGAGGTGGGAGGACTGCTTGAGGATAGGATTTTGAGTCCATCCTGGGCAACATAACGAGACCCCAACTCTAAGAAAAAAAAAAATTACAAATATCCTTAATTGGTAAAATAAAATGTTAGCATATGTTGATCCCTCCAGTTTTATTTTTCCTTTGGAAATGTATTGGCTTATAAAATTCCTGTATTTCAGAACTACTGACCTACTCCTTAAAAACTGGGGCCAGGACTAAGGTGAGGGGATGGGAGGCACTCACTTTGGGCACAGAATACAAGTGGATGCCAAAAAGTCAGTGAGTAAGATAACCGATGTTTTCATGTATGTGTGTGTGTGTATACACACACCACACACACACACACACACACACACATATATATATATATATATTTTTTTTTTTTGAGACAGAGTTTTGCTCTTGTTGCTTAGGCTAGAGTGCAATGGCGCAGTCTCGGCTCACCGCAACCTCCACCTCCCAGGTTCAAGTGATTCTCCTGCTTCAACCTCCTGAGTAGCTGGGATTATAGGCATGCACAACCATGTCTGGCTAATTTTGTATTTTAGTAGAGACGGGTTTCTCCATGTTGGCCAGGCTGGTCCCAAACTCCCGAACTCCTGACCTGAGGTAATCCGCCTGCCTCAGCCTCCCATAGTGTTAGGATTACAGGCATGAGCCACAGCGCCCGGCCTTCATGTATATATATATGTATTTTTTTTTTTTTGAGACAGAGTCTCCCTCTGTCGCCCAGGCTGGAGTGCAGTGGCGCGACCTGGGCTCACGACAAGCTCCGCCTCCCGGGTTCCCGCCATTCTCCTGCCTCAGTCTCCCAAGTAGCTGGGACTACAGGCGACGGCCACCTCGCCCGGCTAGTTTTTTGTATTTTTTAGTAGAGACGGGGTTTCACCGTGTTAGGCAGGATGGTCTCGATCTCCTGACCTCGTGATCCGCCCATCTCGGCCTCCCAAAGTGCTGGGATTACAGACTGGAGCCACCGCGCCCGGCCTCATGTATATTTTTAAAAATAAAACTAATGCAAAAAGTCCACAATAAACAGCAATGCAAAATTTTAAAGACAGAATCAGTATTAGTATTTCACCTTTTGCCTCAGGTTCCAATGTGCTTGGCATGGCACTGCTTAGAAGCAGTTCTTCTAAATCACCCATGATAGGAAAGGGCAATTCTGGGTCTGAGAATACTCCATAAAAGGAACTGCCACAACATTTGCAGGTGTTTGGTTGTCTCATGACCCTGAGGCCTTGAGTCTGATGTCATTCCATTTCTGCAGCTTAAACCTGAGTCCCTCTTTTGCTGCCCTCAATGGAGACATCCACCCCACTCTCCCAAACAACACAACTGTCCTTCAGAGGCTCAAGGGCAGTTACGTAAGCGCTCCCCCACACATCCCCATACTCATTCCTCTCCCTCTGTAGCCAGCTTTTCATGTTTATTTTTCTTTTCTGAATTCTTAGGAAAGCAAGCAAGTGGAGACCAAGACAGATGCCAAGAATGGAGAGGAAAGGGGCAGAGATGCCAGCAAAAAAGCCCTGGGCCCCAGACGGGACTCAGATCTGGGGAAGGAGCCAAAGAGGGGTGGTTTAAAGAAAAGCTTCTCTAGAGACAGAGATGAAGCTGATGGCAAGAGTGGTGAGAAGCCCAAGGAAGAGAAGATCATCCGGGGCATTGACAAGGGCCGGGTCAGGGCTGCAGTGGATAAGAAGGAGGCAGGGAAGGATGGAAGGGCAGAGGAGAGGGCAGTGGCCACCAAGAAGGAAGAGGAGAAGAAAGGGAGTGACAGGAACACAGGCTTGAGCAGGGACAAGGATAAAAAGAGAGAAGAGATGAAGGAGGTGGCCAAGAAAGAGGATGATGAGAAGGTAAAAGGGGAACGTAGGAACACAGACACCAGAAAAGAGGGTGAGAAGATGAAAAGAGCAGGTGGGAACACAGACATGAAAAAGGAGGATGAGAAGGTAAAAAGAGGAACTGGGAACACAGACACCAAAAAGGAGAATGAAAAAGTCAAGAAGGATGAACCCTTACATGAAAAGGAAGCCAAGGAAGACAGCAAGACTAAAACACCCGAGAAACAGATGCCCAGTGGCCCCACCAAGCCCTCTGAAGGGCCGGCCAAGGCGGAGGAGGAGGCAGCTCCCAGCATATTTGATGAGCCTCTGGAAAGAGTGAAGAACAATGACCCTGAGATGACTGAGGTGAATGTCAACAACTCAGACTGCATCACAAATGAGATCTTGGTCCGGTTTACTGAGGCTCTGGAATTCAACACTGTGGTTAAGGTGTTTGCCTTGGCCAACACGCGAGCCGATGACCACGTGGCCTTTGCCATTGCCATCATGCTCAAGGCCAACAAGACCATCACCAGCCTCAACCTGGACTCCAACCACATCACAGGCAAAGGCATCCTGGCCATCTTCCGGGCCCTCCTCCAGAACAACACACTGACCGAGCTCCGCTTCCACAACCAGCGACACATCTGTGGAGGCAAGACAGAGATGGAGATCGCCAAGCTGCTGAAGGAGAATACTACCCTGCTCAAGCTGGGCTACCATTTTGAGCTGGCCGGGCCCCGAATGACCGTCACCAATCTGCTCAGCCGCAACATGGACAAGCAGAGACAAAAGCGGCTGCAGGAGCAAAGGCAGGCACAGGAAGCCAAGGGAGAGAAGAAGGATCTGCTGGAGGTACCCAAGGCCGGGGCTCTGGCCAAGGGCTCCCCAAAACCTTCACCTCAACCATCTCCAAAGCCCTCTCCAAAGAACTCACCCAAAAAAGGGGGTGCTCCAGCTGCCCCACCTCCCCCACCCCCTCCCTTGGCTCCACCCCTTATCATGGAAAACCTGAAGAATTCACTCTCACCAGCTACCCAGAGGAAGATGGGAGACAAAGTCCTCCCTGCCCAGGAGAAGAACTCCCGTGACCAGCTATTGGCCGCCATCCGCTCCAGCAACCTCAAGCAGCTCAAGAAGTTAAGTAGTTGTTGGCGTGAACCAACAGGGCGGGGCTGGTTAGGGCCTGGAGGAGAGGGCAGGACTGCAAAAGGGAAGGCATGCAGAGGAGCTCCTGTCGGCTGCAGATGAAATAGACTCCCAGGGCCCATAGGGAACTTCAGGTCATCTTATGCATCCTTCTGCCTGCAGGCAGGTCACACTTGTACATTCCCTAGAGCTGAGACTTTACCCTTCCTTTAAGGAGCTTCCTTTAGCCCCTCACTCCATGCTTCTCTTTCATCCTGCAGTGAAGCCTGTTTCTCCTTAAAATGGAGAAATGGCCTCTACAGAGTAGTTTTGCCTCGGGTCCTTCCTTTAAGTCTTCTCCATTTCCCCAAACAAAAATGATCCATGTTTTACTTAGCCTTCTCTCAGGACAAGCCGAGTCCTACAGGTCAGTCCATCCGAAAGGTCTCTGGGAGACTCACCTCTCAGGAGAGTCTACCTTTGCCTAGCCAGTGCTATGGACAGAGGAGCCATCCCTGGACACCCTACTTCTCCAAGCTCTGCCTCCCCTGGAAGTCTGGCCTGGGTGACAAAGTCCATGATCGTTTGTCCATTTGGCTGGATACCCAACCCCCACAACATCATCTGGGACAAGATATCATGAGATAAAGGACAATTTCCATTGTAATTCCAGTGGTCACTCGATGACATCCAATTTTTACAGACAAGGAAAAATGCTCCTTCAGTGTCAACACCTCATTCACATTCCACAGACATAACATATTGCAGTGTCTCCTGTGTCCTTCCAGTAGGGAGGGAGGTGAGGTGGCCGAGCTCCCTTCTCTAACCTGTCTCTACTTTGCCCCTACAGGTGGAAGTGCCCAAACTGCTTCAGTAGGACCAGGCTACGAGGCACCATCTGCCAATGCCATGACTGCTCAGGCCTCACCTCCCAGGGCTACACAGACCCTGCCCACCCCGTCCCTGGCTGACCTGCTGTGGATGTCCCTATTCTGCCATGGGACAGTCAAGGCCTGGGTCACGCTCAAGGAAGGATGCCTTATCTCTTCTCGCTTTCCTTTTCTTGTCTCTGAGGCTCTCCAAATTTTGCTTTAATACCTGGAGCTCAGGTTTCCGGACAAGAAGAGTCCTTTTAGCACATCGCTGAGAAGATGGCACTGTCCAGGGCCCATGTAACTGGCAAGCTGCAAAAGACCTGTGATCCAGGAAAGATGTCCCACAGGGACCACATCCACCCCAGCCCCACTGCCCTCTAGGGCCAGGATTCAGGCCTCTGAGGAGCCCACGGGGCAAAGCTGCTGGGCCAGTGGCATTCTGTGTGGGACAATGGCAGAAAGATGGAGAGGCACGGGGGCACAAAGGGGAGCATGGGGAGGGGCTGAGGATACCCCAAAGTCCAGGCTAATCAGAGGATGTGGCAGGGGCAGTGGCCTGGATGGACAGTGCCTGGTGGGAGTAGACTCCAGACAGGAGGAGGGGGACAGACCGCAGCTGGACTTGAAGGTTTGATGCCAAAGTAGACATTTTCCTCACACCCACCTGCTGCTGTATAAATAGCTGTGTATCTGTTTTTCCATAAGATTTTGATAATATATACAAACCTTTAGCTGTGAATGGCTGTGCCCCACCTGTTGTCCTGAACTGTGAGTCCTGATCCTAACCCTGGGCTCCCTGGAGGACTCTAGAAGCTGAGGTTCCCTGCCATGCTATTTGAGTTGGCCATGAAATAAATTCACATCCTCAGAAAGTGCAGCATGGAGGAAAATCTGAACTCTGAGCAGAGGACTCTCCACTGACCTGGTTGTTCAGGTCTAGAAGGCCAGGCCTCTACTAGGTCTGCTCCTGAACCAGTCCTGCTGCCTGGAGTCAGTAGCCAGAGCTGTTCTCAGGGGTGCTGGGGCAGAGTGGAGTGCAGGGTGCTGGGATGGCTATATTAGGCATGTTTAGAGATGCTCATTCCATGACTCTGCCTAACCACAGGCTCAGGGCCAGGTCCTCACAGCAGTCACAGGCCCAGGAAGGCAGCAGGCAGAGAAGTGGAGTGACTATTTGGAGAATAGCACCCATACCTGTGTACCCTAGGGCTCAGAAGGGCCTCATCTTCCCCAGCCCTCCCCATCTACTCACCAATTCCGCTTCCTGCCCCAACTGCAGGAATGCTGACAATGCTGCCATGCCCACCATCGTGTGTAGATGAAAGGCATCTTTCTGAATTTCATTCTCTTGAAGGTGCTGGCACCCCTTGGCACTGTGGAACTGCCACCTTGGGTCTGTGTCACTTGTAGGTTTCTCTGCCTCCAGGTTGCCTCAACAGCAGGAGGCACAGCAGTTTCACCATCGTTGAGGTGAGGGTAGGCTACCCCAGCTAGGAAGCAGGATCACTGTGCTAGGTCTGCCCAAAACCAGAGGGCAGTCTAGTCCTGGGGTAAAGCCCTCAGATCCCAGGGCACACTCTTTCCCATTCCCTCCACCCACTTGCCTGTCACCCCAGTCACCTAAGCAATCACTGGGCCCAGAGGAGAGGAGACAGACACACACTGGCTCCTAGACCTAAAGGGTATGAGCTGGAGCTAAGGCCAGCTAGAGCTTCCACTGTCAGCCCCCACTGTCAGCCCCACTGCACCCCCCGGGCCTGCTGGGTGCTGGGCACTAGCTAGATGCTTTAGGTTGCTTCAGCTGATCCTTCAACTCTGTGAGGTGGATACCAGTATTCTATTTTGCAGATAGAGTTTGGCCCAGAGAGGTTAACTAATATATCCATGATCACACAGCTAATAAAAGGCAGAGCTCAGGTCTTTTTTGTTTGTTGGTTTTGTTTTGAGCCCAGGTCTTCAGGCCATAGAACTGCTTCTCATTAACAGCTCTCCTTCCTTCCCTCACTGAAATAAGGCTGTGACGGTGCTGCAGGAAAGCACTGGATGCTCACCTGAACCCAAACAACCTACCTCCAAATCTTAAGGCTCCAACACCTTAAAAAGGTGTCACCTTAGGAAGCCCTTTCTACCAAACTTTAAACATGATTTAGCCAGAGAGAAAAACCACTCCCTACTGTCCCGAGCAACAAGTGAGCGGCCCCTCCGCGGTGCTCCTGCGGGATGCTGTTTCTGCCCTGGATGATGTAATCATTCCTCTGGTGCACTTGAACCTGGTGCGGAAGCGCAGCGCCACCTGGGGGTGGACCGCAACCCAGATTCTCCAGCTGCTCCAGGGACGCCCTGGAGCTGTGCTAGGGACCAGGGGAGGGAGGCAGTTCAAGGGAGGAGGAGGAAAAGATGGGTAGATAGCCTGGTGAGCTTTGGAAAAGGGGCCCGAACTCCAGAGGCTGCGTTTCTGCTGGGCCATGCACCCACTGCTGCCCACCTGCCCCACCAGCACTGGCAGTCACCCATCTATCCAGCTTCCTTTCCTAAAACTTAGGGGGGAACATCCAGAAAGGCTCTATCCTTGTCTGGTGCCCGTACGGTACAGGGACAAAAAAAACAGGTTTAAAGACAGCAAATGACTTGTCCAAGTTGATGAATCCGGATTTGAACCCAAGTCTCCTACCTTTGGGTTCATCTAGCAACCTGGATGAAGCCACGGTCTGACCTCCACAGTCTCTGCCTGCAGCCCCCACTGTCATATCGTCCACTCTGCCCCCCCACCCTCCATCACTTCCTGGGGAATCACATTCCTTAGCTCCTACCCACAAGGAAGGGAGGCTTCACCTCTCAGCTCTCCTGGCCCGCAGGGCCCAGCTGTTGCACCCCAAGCTTCTTGCCTCCTGGCCCTATCCAGATGGGAAAAGTGTATTTCCCTCCACCTTCCCTGGGCCACCCCAAGGGATGCCAGCACTGGGACCTAGGCCCTGGTGCTGGCTGTGGGTGGGATGGTAGGCACCAGCAGCTGCCAAGGCGCTGGCCTCACTTGTCCTCACAGAAGCTCAACCTGCAGGTGAGCAAGGGGCTCTAGGCCTGGGCACTGTAGCACACATACGGCACTTTAAGAAACATGAGATCTGGATGTAGGTCACCCATGAGCTTCTGGACCATCAAGTCGGGACTGCCATGTGCTGCCCCCTACTCTGCACCCTGCATGGCCAGGCTGGGGCCCCTGACTTCTGAGTTTGGCCTGACTAGGGCTTGTGTTGCTGTGGTGCTGGGCTAGGCTGCTGGCCTAAGAGTGGCCAATAGAGTGTGGCCCCCCTCAGCACCCTTCCCTCAGCACCTCCCACTCGTCCTGCCTATGCCCCTCCTGCCTCTCCCTCCCTCTTTCCTCCAGTCCTCTAGGGCCCTTCCCTTACTTGCCCCTCCCTCCTTTACTCCTTGCCTGAAGTGCCGCCCTTCTGTTCACCTAGGGGGAAGGAGGGAGGCCCTTCTCCCCTCCCTCAAGGTGTCTCTCCTTTGTTGCCAACCTTTCCCCCCTGCCCATTGTATTTCCATGTGTCCCTGCCCTAGCTCCTTCCCTGCACCTGACCCCTCCCATCCCCCTGTGAGATCCGCTTCCTCCTGAGCAGGCCCAGCCTGGCAAGATTCCTGCCCTAAGAATGCACTTGTCTTGCTTTTGTCTAAAAATGCCCCTCTTCTCCACCTATGCCTTCCAGACCGCCCCTTGCGGGATTCACCATTCCCTCCCAGCCTGGCAGGACTCGACTGACGCCACTGTCAGCCCCACTGCACCCCCCTGTGCCTGCTGGGTGCTGGGCACTAGCTAGATGCTTTAGGTTGCTTCAGCTGATCCTTCAACTCTGTGAGGTGGATACCAGTATTCTATTTTGCAGATAGAGTTTGGCCCAGAGAGGTTAACTAATATATCCATGATCACACAGCTAATAAAAGGCAGAGCTCAGGTCTTTTTTGTTTGTTGGTTTTGTTTTGAGCCCAGGTCTTCAGGCCATAGAACTGCTTCTCATTAACAGCTCTCCTTCCTTCCCTCACTGAAATAAGGCTGTGACGGTGCTGCAGGAAAGCACTGGATGCTCACCTGAACCCAAACAACCTACCTCCAAATCTTAAGGCTCCAACACCTTAAAAAGGTGTCACCTTAGGAAGCCCTTTCTACCAAACTTCAAACATGATTTAGCCAGAGAGGTCCTGAGGTCCCCCAATCCTTGAGGGACACTGCCCCTCCCACCCTCACTTCTGCCTGCCCTTATGGGGTCCCTGATTGGCTTTCAGGGGTGCTAGTTGAGGAACAAGGTGATCTGGAGGGGCAACTACAGCTTTGTACTCCCCTGGCCCCGCTGGGCTCCCCTTGTTTCCCAGATGATGAGTCAGATGAGGTGGGGTCAGAGGAGACTGCAGTGCTTTGGGAAGAGATGCAGGGCTGATTGCCTCCATTTAAAGAACTCTAGGATATGTGAGAGACCTCGTCACTGCTCAGAGCACGTGACAGTCCTACTTTGTTGCAGTTTTCTCCTTTTCTTCGAATTCTCTTCAGTGTTTTGCGGAGTGAATTGACTGGAAATGGGGCAACCCCACTCTTCCAGTCTCAGTTATGGCTGGGGTAAACCTGCCTCCTATCCCAGACTACAAAGCATTTTTTCATTGACACCAGGTTGTTGATTCAAGGATAATTAATTCTGACTGGCATCACCTTGCATACATTTCACATCATTTCTCAGAGAAACTCAAAAACCTTAATATATCGATCTCTTCCAGCTCTCAGCTTCAGGAGAGAGGAGACTGGACTCCAAACCTCAGAGGACTTGGAGACCCTCTTTCCTAAATTGTGAAGCCAGGGACTCCAGGGCTCCAGCCCCCACCTCTTGTCCCCACCCTCAAAGAGAAAGTGGATTTGTACCTGTGGCCTCAGCCCTGTCTCTACCAGCATCAGCAGCCCCTCCCTGTCTGGGTCTGATCCAGGGGCAGACACATGGGCCCCATGGATATTTCACTGGGAAGGGGAAAGCTGTGAATCTAGGGGCAGGGCTCTGCCAGGGGAATTTCTGACCCTGGCCCCAAAACCCTGGCTCAGGAGTTCTTGCCTTCCAGGCTGCATGACAAGGGATAATCCTCAAGATTATGTGGGTGGCAGAAAGCCACCCCAGAAGTGCTGGGGGAAGGGTGCTGAGGGGGGCCACACTCTCTTGGCCACTCTTAGGCCAGCAGCCTAGCCTAGCACCACAGCAACACAGGCCCTAGTCAGGCCAAACTCAGACATCGGGGGCCCCAGCCTGGTCATGCAGGGTACAGAGTAGGGGGCAGCACCCTGCATGGGGGCATGGTCAGCACAATGGCCCTACCCAGAACCCAGCTGGGCTGCAGGAGCCCAGAGGTCTGAGGGGGCAGGGCAGGAGAGCAGAGCCTGAGGCTGCTGTGGGGCTGGAGTACCTGTGCATGGGGAGAAAAGGAGGGCTGGGCTTAGAGGATACTTGGATAAGGGGCTTGGGGAGGGGAGGGGCTCCTCACTGGTGGGGCTTTGCCAAGCTGAGCTTACACTTTTCCCACTTGAATTAAAAACAATAAAACTTCCTTCCCTGGATCTGTCACCAGACAAGTCCTGAGAGCACAAGGACCATGACCCCAGGGAACAAGGAGATGGAAGACAGCCAGGCAGCTCCAGAGGTGGGAGGCTCTTCTAGGCAGTATTTGTGGGAGGAGAGGGAGAAAAGGTCACATCCCCCACTGCGTGGCTCAGCGGGGGTCACAGACATGGGCCTGGGGACTGGGATCCAAGCAGCTGACAGAAGCACCTTGCACCAGGTTCTTGGGTCACCCAGTGTCTCTACCTGGCTCCTAGTCCTAGGACCTCTAATCAGGGAGGAAAGGACAGGACTAACAGTTTAATGTACATAATATTTCACCCTCCTGACAGCCATGGGGTATTATACCCATTCGATTTATTTATTTATTTATTTAGAGACAGATCCTGGTTCTGTCGCCCAGGCTGGAGTGCAGTGGCACAATTTCAGCTCACTGTAACCTCCGCCTCCTGGGTTCAAGTGATTCTTCTGCCTCAGACTCCCGAGTAGCTGGGATTACAGGTGCCTGCCACAATGCTTGGCTAATTTTTTTTTTTTTTTTTTGAGACAGAGTTTTGCTCTGTCGCCCAGGCTGGAGTGCAGTGGCCGGATCTCAGCTCACTGCAAGCTCCGCCTCCCGGGTTTACGCCATTCTCCTGCCTCAGCCTCCCGAGCAGCTGGGACTACAGGCGCCCGCCACCTCACCCGGCTAGTTTTTGTATTTTTTAGTAGAGACGGGGTTTCACTGTGTTAGCCAGGATGGTCTCGATCTCCTGACCTCGTGATCCGCCCATCTCGGCCTCCCAAAGTGCTGGGATTACAGGCTTGAGCCACCGCGCCCGGCTTTTTTTTAAAATATTAGCAGAGACAGGGATTCACCCTACTGGCCAGGTTAGTCTTGAACTCCTGACTTCAGGTGATCTGCCCGCCTCGGCCTCTCAAAGTACTGAGATTACAGGCATGAACTACAGCGCCTGTCCTATCCCCATTCTATAGATGGGGACACTGAGGCTTGGAAACCTTGGGAGACATGGCCAAGGTCAGAAAGTGGTGGGGCCCAGAATGAACCTAAGGGTACCTGAATGAGAACTGCCTTTGTACAGTTAGCAGTGCCTCAGCTGCTGTAGAGCTGTTGATCCCTAGCAGGGAATATCTGTAGAGCAAACGAGCATCTCTTCAGAGCCATGGCGAAATTTACCTCATTGTCTTTAGGAAGCAGCCCAGGAATAGTCTGCCTTGGTCTGCGTGTGGATGGGGGGGAGGATGGTGCTGTGCTCCAGTGCTGGTGCTGGCCCTCCCCTACTTTTGGTATATGGAGTGGGCAACAGTCTGGGCCCAGCTGAAGGCGGTGTTCCTGGAAAGTGTGGATGGGTCCAATGATGCGACTGATATGAGTTACGTCTTTACAGCTTTAATCCAGCAGGCCAGAGATCTGGCCAGTGGGGCAGCCAGAGAGGAGGGCTACTGCCAGCTGCTGATGGAACCTCCTCCCTGCCCCCACCCCAGCCCAGAGGGGACAAACAGTAGGGCCCCAGCCTTCCTGGCTGGGATCTTGGGAGCAGAGGGACTATTTGAAAACAGGCACTGTGACCCAGGCTGTCATCTCCCTCCCTTGCCCCCAGTAAAAATAATCCCAAGCCCTCCCCCCAACCCCTCATAGTTCTAGTTCAGCTCCTGTTCCACTTCCCTGAGGCTCTGTCCCCAGTAGGGCCCAGGGCTTGGCTTGGTCTGGGGCCTGGTGACTAGAGGACTCCTGCCCACCCCCAGGACCAGATGCAGGTACAGGATGAGGGCATCTCCCAAGGTTGGCATCACTGAAGGGGCAGCAGAGACATGGCTGGTTCCTCAGGCTCCCGGGTAAGAGGGCTGTGGTGGCATATAGGGAGGAGGAGCTGAAAGCCAAAGAGACAGGATGAGGGTGAGTGGTGGCATAGGTGGATGAAAAGTAACCCCCCTACCCCCAGGGCAGACAGGACCCATAGGAAAGAGTGGGCCTGGAGGTTTTGGGTTAGAGGTGAAGAAAGTCTGGGAGAGGCAATCTGAGAATGAGAGAGGCACAAGGAGGGTCGCAGGGCAAGGGGTGGGGGAAGGCAGCAGCAAGGGGCCCCAGATTGCTTACTTACCTGCAGGGTTGTAGACTGGGGGCCCAGCTGGGTAGAGTGGATATTGGGGAGCAGGACCACTAGGTGGGTACATGAAGCCAGGTTGTGGGGGTGCAGGGCCAGCTTTGGGGTCCTGGGGGTATGGGTATACTGGCTGCACTGGGATGCCTGTCATTGGAATCTCCTGGCCTAGGTGGGGGAGAAGGATCAGCATTCAGAGACCCATCTCCTATGGGAAGCCTCCTCCTCCTGCCCAGGAAACCAAGGTAAGCACCCTGGTGCTGGCCTCTGGCAAGCTCCAGGCTGGCCATCTTTTCCTCCCACACCCTGCTTGGCAGATTTAAGCAGGGAGCTGTGCACGTGGCCCCAGCTGGTCAATCTGTGTTTAGCAAGTTTGCTCCCCTCAGCAGGTTTCAGAGACCTTATGAACCAGGGAGCACAGCCCAGGGAATATCTCACTTGGGCAAGGATAGGACAGCTCCGGACTGGTATCCTGTAATCCAGCAGAGCTGCCACTAAGGGGGTCTTCTCCTAGCCCTTTCTGCCCACACTGATCTCCCATATGGCACCACCGTCCCCATGTCCATCAGGTTGTGGCATATGTGCATCACATGCCAACACTCAGGCACATATTCTGCCATCCACTGCAGCACACTCAATTAATGTTCATCACTACAGACCTGACCCCATGTACTAAGAGTCATGTGCACACATACACCCACTCACCCACTATTGTTGACAGACTGCACTCCTGTATACATTTGAATCTTCATGTGTATGCACAGAAATGCACACACAGTCTGATGTTCCATATACCCCTGGGCACATTCTAATAGTCAGGTGTTTACAAGCATTTTTCTGGGTTTTCATGCTGGCAGGTGTGTGTATACAGAAGTACGTACTACTACAGAATTTACCCAATCCATGAACTTTCTGCTGCCCATTATGGGACTTAGCCCAGCCCATATGAGGCTCATCTTGCCCAGTACTGGGTGTACCTTCAAATGGGCTCTGGAGTTGCTGGCGCCGGCGGTACAGGTAGCAACAGGAACAGAGGAAGCAGCAGATGGTGGTGGCAACCACAGCAACAAAGAGGATCACAGCTGAGGCGATGCCTGCTATGGTCTTGGGACTTTAGACAAAGAACAGGTCCTCTCACCTTCCAACACTCACAGGAGGGAGTCCTCATTATGCTGGCTCCAACTCCTGGCCAGCAGGGGGGCCACGGCATGCTGAGATTTGGGGTTCCTTGTGGGGCTCTGCCCAGTCCCTGTGAAGGAGATCTTAGAGGACCTCCACTTCCCAGAAGGCTATGCTGCCTGGCTGGCTAGTGTGAAGCATATGGGGATTTGCAGTGCGCCCCCAACCATTGCTTTTATATCTACAACTTAAATGACTTGACATACAGCATAACACTGAAAGGAGCCTTATAAATAATCTAGAGCCATTTTTTCCAAACCCCACTTCAATCAGAAGTCTCTGTATCTATTTTATATATGATATATTTTAAAAAGTTTGACAACCACTAATTTGGCAAGCAATGACCCATAGAAGGCAAGTGTCTTCTCCAAGATCACACAGCTAGTAAGAAGTGGACCTGGGAATCAAACCCAAGTCTCCGCCTTTGTGCCAGAGCTTCTTCCACAAAGCCACACTGTCGTCCAGGTGTTAACCCTGAACCCTGCCTCCCCAGGACCTAGCAGGACCAAAGGGAGGGCTCCAGAAAGAACCTGGAAACCCCTGGCCCGGCCAAAGCCTATGAAGGTAACTAACATGCCTTTTCTGGAACTCCCAGGCACCAGCACCTAAGCACCTAGCTCTGCCGCCAAGCTGGAGTCCTGGTGACTCCATTCAGCTAAGAATGTGGAGGTCGAAATGGAGAGGAGGCAGGAGTCCGGGAGGGAGGAAGGGGAGGCCTCTGGAGAAAAGGATGGAGGAGGGGGTGAGAGTGGGGACGCAGGAACCCACCTGAAGGCCAGGCAGTGCTTCTGCTGCCTCTCGGTGATGAGCAAGGTCAGGTCCCTGCAGCAGTACCGATGGTAGCAGGTCCCGCAGCAGAAGGTGAAGAACTCGCAGTTAAACCCCGGATGCCAGGAGCCATTCCGGTCCAAGTACCATAGGCAGTCCTCGCCGGCCAGCGCTGCGGGCAGGGGTTGGGGGTGCCCAGTGGCCACCAGGCCAGTTCATCCCCGGCCGCCCTCGGCCCCACTGCCCCGGTGGTCCCCAGCCTGCTGGCTCCCGAACACTGAGGGTTGCCCCTTGTCTCCAACCTGAGGGTCTCAGCTCCGGAGCTCCAGAGGCCTCTGCCTGAAGCTGACCCTGCACCCCGGGGTCAGCCTCCCATGGTCCAGCATCCTGGCGCTCCCTCTTCCCGCTTCTTGAGGATCCAGCAACACCCAAGGCTCCCGTGGCAGCCTTGGATAAGCCTCGACCCCAAGCCCCTCGGATCGGCCCCTCCCCTTCCTCCGCCCCCATCCCACCCCATCCCACCCCATCCCACCCCGGCCGCATCACTCCCCATCCCCTTACCCAGGGGAGCCCCCAGCATCAACAGAGCGATTGCAGTGAGCGGCGCGGCCCGGCGGAGCCCCGCGGGTGGCATGGTGGGGGCTGGGCGCGGCCGGGGTCGGGCCTCCCAGAGAAGGGACCGCAGGACCAAGCCGGCTAGCTGGAGCTGCGGCGGGGCCCAGCCCGCGGCCAGGCTGGGGCTCCTCTTCCGCCTCCTCTGGGGGTGGGACTAAGCGCCCCGCCCGCGCTAATCCAGCCGGCGCGGCTCCGCGCAGCGCCCAGGAGTCCACCCACCAGCGACGCCCACCTAGCCTCTGGAGCTGGGTGCCCCTCACCCAGCAGAGCACTGCCCTGCTCCCCCTGTCCCCGGCTCCGCTGTGGTTCCTCCCGTCCGAGCCAACATGGGCACCGCAGGCAGTTGGGCACTGCGGCCAGGGAAGTCTGGCTGTGTCCTGGACCCGCCCCCGGCCTGGGCCCAATCAGTATGCTGGACTCCAGAAGCCCTGATCCTGGTGCCACCTCCGAATGCCCAGACACATGGGCCAACCCTGGAGGGGCAGGGCTGGACCTTCCCTTGTTGGGGACCTCCTCTGCCGCGTCCAGCCTGGGACATCCTGTGGGGGGCTGAGAGGGAAAGAGGCTGGATGTCACCCCGCCCCCATTCCCAGAACACAAGCACTCATTGAGAGGCATTCAGAGTGGCTTTGTCCCCAGCGGTGCCCACAGGCCTGGACCCTGCCAGCTGCACTGGCTCCCTACGATGGACCCTTCCCCCTTCAAGTGGACAGAGCTGTCATGCACAAGCCCATGGCTTCACTAGCAGGGAAGGCAGGCTGCTGGGGCCACCCGGGGCCCATCCAGTTATACACTCTTCACAGAGCAAGCTGGTACTGCAATAGCCACTGGAGCACAGGGAGGTCAACAGTTAATTTCAGGTGGGCAACAGTTAATTCCAGGTGGAGACAGCGTTTTAGGGTGGGAGAGGTCAATCAGTCTTCGCAGGTTTATACTGAGTGCCAGTGACTATGCCCCATGGTACATGAGGTACCCTCCGAGGAACTGCAAATTAAGCCAGGGAGATCATCAAAAGCCTACCTTAATCCCCTGCCATGTACACCCTTTACACGCACGTCCAGGCTTCCACATCTACCTCACTGGAATCTTTCCACAACTCTATTAACTAAGCAAGGTTGGTCGGTGTTATCAATCCCATTTCACAGACAGAGAAACTAGGACTCATGGAGGTTAAAGAACTTGTTCAAGGTAATACAGCCAGTAAATGGCAGAGGCATCAGGAAGACCCAAATCTAAATCAGGGTTGATCCCCAGCCACAACAGCAGACTGTGCAGACAGCGAGTATTTCTTGTGTTCTGGAGTGACAGAATCAGGGCAGGTCCATGGAAGGCCCAGTAGAATCTTAGTAGGTTAGGGAAGAACAGCTGGAAGAGGAGCTATCCCATCCTGGGTCCCTGTGGGTGCTGGTACACCTACCCAAGAGAGCTGGAATAGGAGAGGATAGGCTCCTGCCCCAGAAAGTTGCTGGTAGCCTGATGGGCAAGAGTATGTCCTCACGCATGACACAGTCATAAATGCAGCAGCAGGGACAGAGAGATGCCTCTGAATCCAGCACCACCTACTCAGTGTGCTCATTGCCATCCATCTCCTCTTTCCTACACTAAAAGCTCCATGACTGCAGGGACCACGTGGCTGTGTTCACTGTTGCCATCCAGCCCTAGCCATTGGTGCTGTCATTGTTGGAATCATCCTCAGATGAAGGGGTGTTTTTCCTGCCCAGGGCTGACTCTCCCATGTGTACCCTTGACCCCTGCTGATCTGTCTCTTCATTATCCCATCTCTTTAGTGTCTTTAGCTTCTCCTACCTTACCAGCTTCTTTTCCCTAGGAAAAGGAAATCTCAAGTCTTTCCTATTTAAAACAAACCAAACCAAACCACATCCTTCTTGAAACTCATGCCTCTCTAGCTACTTTCCTGCTTTTCTGCTTTTTTCTCCAATTAGCCCTCCTCAAAGCATATACCCCTAGATGACACTTCCAGCTTGCAATGACACCTAGCACACACCAACATCATCAGTGTTTTCCTAATTGCAAAATTCTAGTAATATATTTCAGTTCATGGGATGGGAGGTGACTAGGCTAGGACAGAGAGTGAAGAGAAGGGCCTGTGGGCCAACCAGAGGGGAGAACTGGCTGCACTGGGAGAACTTGCACTTCTTACCTTGACAAGGGATGCTGGAACTTGGAGATGGAGAGCTGGGACTAGCTTATGTCACCATAATGAACCTGAGTCCTGAAAGAGTCCATAGGGTTGGCCGGGAGTGAGGAGGGGCTTGGGTGGGAGGACTGGGGGCCCTGGAAGAGGCTGTCTAAATCTTCAGACCTGGAGGGGCTTCACTACACCTTCTCTCGGTAAGGGCAGGCAGGAATACCCTCACCAAGCTGGTCTCTTAATCCCCAGCAAGGGAAAGAAACACTTTCCTGGAAAAGAGGAGGCAGAGCAATCTGTGATCAGATGAGACAAAACATAGACTTTATCAGTAGGAGGTTCTCCTCAGGTTGTCTGGAATATGATGGTAATGATACCAGCAGCAGCAAACATTGCCAGCGAGCTCATCCCATTGTACAGATGAGGAAACTGAAGTTGGAAGAACTTCAGTTCCCCCAGCTCACACTGCTGGGATTTGCAGCTGGACTTTATAGCTTCAAAGCCCCAGCCCTTCAGCTTCACCACCTGCTTCTCTTTAAACAAGTCTAAAGGGCCGGGCGCGGTGGCTCACGCCTGTAATCCCAACACTTTGGGAGGCTGAGGCGGGTGGATCACCTGAGGTCGGGAGTTCGAGACCAGCTTGACCAACATGGAGAAACCCCATCTCTACTAAAAATACAAAATTAGCCGGGCGTGGTGGCACATGCCTGTGATCCTAGCTGCCTGGGAGGCTGAGGCAGGAGAATCACTTGAACCCAGGAGGCTTGAACCCGGAAATGCGCCACTGCGTTCCAGCCTAGGCAACAAGAGTGAAACTCTGTCTCAAACAAAACAAACAAACAAAAAACAAGTCTAAAATGCTCAGCGCTATGCCTGGCATAAAGAGCATGTACTCAGGGAAACTCTTGATGCCCAGCCCTTATCTCTAGCAGGCCTCTGCATGTGGTGAGAAGGTAGCCAGGGATATCTGGAGTGGGGAAGGGCAGGAGGAGGGGAAGGGCTGGGACCCTGCCTGTGACCGGTAGGAGTGCTCTGTTGAGTCACCTCACTCCTGGACTGAATGACCAGCCTAGGGCTCCTCCCAACCCCTTCCATGCTCCTCTTTCTATCAGAGCAGACTGACACAGGCATTCCTGAGGCCTTTCCTACTTTCCCGTGCCATGAGCCCTGGAGGCTGTATCCCACCCTGGTCCTGCCCTGCTTCTGCTATCTGGCTGTGGAGGTTCCTGCCTCCACTTTTGTCTGGCCAGTGGTTTGAGTTGAGCCATTCCAAGATAAGGGAAACTCCATTCCTTTCCTAATTACTGCCTCTGATCAATCAGTGCTCTCCCGGAATGCTGTTACTCTGTCCTCTTTTCTTTTCCTCCCTGCCTCTGGCAGCCCAACTCCTGCAGACAGGTAATTATACATTCCCCCCCTCCATAGGACCCCCGAGTTCCTTCCTCTGATTTAATGTCAGACCCTTCCTGGAGTCTTGGACACATGAATTCTCCTTGCAGTCCACGGCTAGGGAGAGTAAGGCCTAGGAGAGCACCAGGTCTTGGCCAAGGTCTCATGGCTTAGTTGGGGAACCAGGTCTTTTGGCTCCCACTGCCCCGGAATAAACAAACATCTCCCTTAAATCAGAACGCTTTTCCTGGCGTCTAGCTTTAATCTTTCTTGCTGTAAATGAAAGACTGTCTCCTGTGTTTGTCCTCTTGGTGGGAGGGATTTGCAAGTGGAGGGTGGGTGAAGGACAGTGAGGATCAGCCTCACTGCTGCCAAGCTACTGGTAAGAAGGAGCACTCTTCCATGTAACAAAGCTGCACAAGTACCTTATAAATTTATATATACATGAAGCACTCTTCTCCAGAAGGATTTTTTACCAATGCCTTTGTAGGATTGCCTCTCCCAGAATGCCAGGCTTCTGCTTGTTTGTAGAGTGCCCAGGACAGCCTGGGCTTCAGGAAAGAAGGGGGTGTAGCCAGGCTGGCTTGGATGGCAGCTGTGAGCAGTCCCCTACCCAGGCACACTCTGGGTGGCTGTGGGAGCGGCAGCAGTCCCAGGCAGCCAAGGCCTGGCCTCAGGAGCCCAGCCTAGCCAGTGGGGCAGATGGGGAGGGCCAGGTTATCTTTAAATGGCACCTTACTCAGCCTGCCACTCTGCCAGCTGGGCAGGATGGGGGTAGACAAGTGTTATTTTGGGATCTGAGGGCAAGGGAGGAGGAAAGCTCTGTTTATAGCTCTCTCCTTTCTGTCCCTACTCTCTCTCCTGGGGAGGATTTGGGGCCATGGGCCTCAGCCCTCCAGCTGACCCTTTCCAACCCAAGGTTTCTGTTTTCAGCCTAGCTGTTAGCCATCTGCACAGATGGGAGTGTTCAATCTACAGAGGCACAGGGTTTCTCCGAAAGGCCAACTCTGTAAAGGCAGGTTTAGGAGGTGAGAACTGCATTAGACTTGGGATTAGACTAATAATAGGTAACATTAACACTTACTATGAGGCAGCACTACGAAGTGCTTTGTATTAGTATATTAACTTTAGTTAATCCTCACAATCACCCCATGAAACAGATACTAGTATTATACTTGTTCTGTGGATTAGGAAATGGAGACATAATTTAAGTAGCTTGTCCAAAGTCATCCAACAGGCAAGTGGCAAAGCCAGGGTTCAAATCCAGGCAGTCTAGCTCCGGAGCCCATGCTGTGAACCACTAACTAGATATGAGTCCTGCTCTGCCACTTACTGGTTCTGCAAACTTGAAGGAACCACGCCTCCTCTGGTCTTGGCTTCCTCTTTTGGAAATGGACTACTGTTCGGTTCAACCCATTAGAATCACCAAGTTAGAACTGGCGGAGACACTCTGATCCATTGTGTCTCTCTCCCTGTTCAAGGGAAAAAGAACTTACTCAAGGTCACACAACAGGGCACTGGCACTAGTTTCTGTGCTGTTGCTGTGAACCTCCCTGTGGCAGGGATGAGTCAAGGGAGCTTACGAGGGATATTAGTTATGAATCTGCAATCACAAAATCAGGTGTGGAAGAAATACATTTATTTTCTTTTAACCAAAATAGATGAGAATGAGTCTCTATCCTGCTACCTGGTTTGTTATTATGGTTTGTTCCCCTCTTCAGAATCACAAAAAGGTCCTGGGGTCTCACACAGTGCAAAACATTGAGGTGAGCCCT